CCCCCCCCTTTTTTTTCCCCCCCCCCCCCCCCAAAAAAATGAGGCTATTAAAAAACTGGTAGTTTTGAGTCTACTTTTCCATCCCCAGATGGTAAAATATAATCTGCTCACTGGCATTATGAAAACAAACACAAAAGTGAGCGTTAAGCTCTAAAATATCACAAAGGTCTAGTTATTCTAAGGGAAGTTGATGTACCATCTACCCAAGTGATCCATTTTTAATGTCCCTATAATGATAAAATCTAAGTGCCAGTTGTGTCATAGTGGTGATCATAAAACTGTAAGGGGCACTTTTATCACTCCTTTTATTAATAACTTGCAGTTTTATGCTGTTTTGATCACAAAAGTTCCACACACACTTTACAAATAATACAGTCATGGTCTTGTAAATATATTATTGCTTTCCAAGTGGAGGGCTTATTTTTAACTTTAGTTGGAATTGAAGGAAATTGTCCTTTGTTCACCTTTTTCTACTAGTTGTACAGTAGTGAACAGGCAAGAACCACTTTGTCATTTTGGAGGACACAGCAATTCTCTGAGCAGAGCAGAGTGGTATTGCAAAACAATTTAGTCTTGGATAGGGGGGAAAAAATCTCTCTCTCTCATTGAAGCAGGACTTGGAATTCAGCTAGGCAGAATATAATGACATATTTACATTACCTGGGACAGTAGGTAAAATACTGGTATACTTGCAAATAAAAAAATGCTGAGAGATTTCTAATAACAAGAAGTCCAGGACTCAGCTTTTTATCCCATCAGAAGGACACAGTGAAGGACATTGTCTTAGTATTGACTAAAAGTGAAAACTGACTCTTAGACAATGCCACATCCAGCAAGACCTTAAATTATCCTTGGAGGCCCTTTATCTAATACTAACTTCCATCTAATACCATAGGTTCTAATAAATTTACCACCAAAAATGGCATGTTCACAGGCCTCCAGCAGAAAGAGAATGAAAACAGTAGTGTAAAGATTTGTGTATTTCAGATTGTAAAGCTGTTTCCAAATGACGTTTTTAATACTATATCCGTTATGTAGTCTGGAAATGAATGATTCTCTTTGCTTTGCATTTTCCAAGGCAAAGACTGGGAACAGTGCTACCTTTAATTTTAGAGCTATGGAAAATGCTTTTGGTGTAAGGTGAAACTGGTGATTTTGAGCTTTATATGAGAATTAAAAATGGCTTATTTAAAAACCAAAAAATATATAAATAATAAAAAACCAACAATCAAACACTCCTCCCTCTCCCAACATTTTACACTGGCACAGGTTTCCCAGTTTCTTCCTTAAGTAAAAACAGCTCTTTTGTAGGAAAAGTGCATGACAGCAGGGTGAGCTTTGAGGTCAAAGGATAAATTGTGCTTATTTCACCAGAGTTCTGGCAACTGAATTTCAGTTGTTAGTCATACTGCCAAGAATTCAAAGATAGGGGAAGGGAGGTTGCATAAGAGCTGGGAGTAAAATAGTTGAACAAGAATTAAAAATACTAATATATGGCAGGGGAGGTAATGCTCAGGGGCAACCAGCATGGGTTCATTGAGGACAGATCCTGCCTAACTTGGTTTCCTTTTATGATTAGGTCACACAGTCTCCGGACGAGGGCATTGAGGTGGATGTTGTCTTCCTGAACTTTAAGAAGGCCTTTGACACTGTTTCCCACCACATTCTCCTAAAAAAACTAGGCGACTGTGGCATTGATGCCTACACAGCCAGATGGGTGGCAAATTGACTAGATGGTTGTACCCAGAGAGTGGTGGTGGACAGGTCATTTTCGACCTGGAGAGATGTGGGCAATGGAGTCCCCCAGGGCTCGGTCCTGGAGCCTGTACTGTGCAACACCTTTATCAGCAATCTGGATGTCGAAAGTACACTGTCCAAATTCACTGATGACACCAAGATGTGGGGCAAGGTGAGCATGCTGGATGGGAGGACAGAATCCAGCTAGATCTAGGTAGGTTACAGAGGTGGGCGGATAAGAATAGGATGGAATTCAATGCAGACAGGTGCAAGGTGCTGCATATAGGGAGAAGGAACCTGCAACACACCTATAAGCTGGGGGACACCCTTCTTGTCAAAACAGTGGCAGAAAGGGATCTTGGAGTCATTGTTGACTCCAGGATGGACATGAGCCGCTAATGCAAGGAAGTGGTCAGTAAGGCTAACTGCACCTAGTCATGGATCTACAGATGCATCACAAGCAGGTCCCAGGAGGTGATCCTCCCCCTCTGTGTGGCATTGGTCAGGCCACAGTTGAAGTACTGTGTCCA